GCTTGATTGTGAACCGCAGTCATGAGATGCATGCGTGAACTGTTGTATATATCTGCTGCCATAAGGGCCCTTGAGTCATACAGAGTAGCTGTGCAGTTTGGCGAGAAGAGGAAGGCACCAATTCTGATTCAGTTCAAACTATGTTAGGTGTAATCCTCTTCGCGTAGGTGAGCGAAAGTCAGAGGACTAAAATCTCCTGCAGTCTGTCAGGCGTTGAGCGGCATGAAGGACTCCGACCCGCAGTGCGCTGCCAACACGGGGCAGGCAAACTTCTGTTGGCTGTAAGCCTAGGTTATACATTTTGGGCTTGATGCGTAGGTATTCTGTGTCCACGACCATCCCTGGTGCCAAACCGCTTTCGACTTGACAGCCCTCAACCCTAAATCCTAAACCGTTTGTTCCGGTGTCGCAGGCTTCTGCCACTCCGAGCTGTTGCTGTGCTGCACCTACGAGCGCGATTGCTTGCTTTGGAGCAGCTTGGAACACACATGGACCGGGTACCAGCGTAGCAACACCTACCCATACTCGATGACATTCTGTGGGAGAGCTGCAGACCACTATGCTTGAGCCTTGCACCATTATCGGAATCTTGTTAGGCACAAGCTTTTGTGATATATGTACTGTGTATTGCTCAAGTTAGCCGTGATATACATATATATATATATGTTGATTTATGTATTTAGTTGTTTCTGTATCTCTTTATGTATTCATTTACTTAATCATTTATTTATTCATGTATATTTATTATCTTAGTTATATATATACATATGTTATAAATTAAAAGTAGCTGTATGTATGTGTATACAGTTATGTATGTATATGTGTGTAGGTACGAATTGTAAATGTAATATGTAATTCTTTTCTGTGTAATAATCATATGTCATATGCTCACAGCTCGACTCCGGCCCGAACCACATGAGGTCGAGCATGTGGCTGAACTTGCGGCACAAGGGCTGGCCAATGCCGTGTGAGCGTTCGCAACCCCAGGCTCGCGAGCGTGCGGCTTGAGCAGAGCATTCCGATAGTGATGTCGGTAGAATCTGGTGCCCGGAAGACCTAACGAAACAAGGTCTCACAACTGCAAGGTGCGCTGGGTCAGCCATCTGCCGGAGCTGCTTCTGCGGAAGTGACCCTCCGCAGCGCGTCTCTGAGTTTGACAACACACGCTGTTCACATATGAGGCCTCCTGTCCGACTTTCTAGATCATGCACAAAACATAGTACATGTGACTCATGTGGCATATAACAACTAATACATCACACAACACCTGTGCAATATACTGCAATATGTGACAGAAAGTTTTATAGAACATGGGAGAAGCAGCATAAAGATTATACAACATGTATATCATGTAAATTGTGCGATACATGACTTATGATCGATGACATATGGTAGTCATGTATTTACACCGGAAGGTACGCCTGTACATATATACATGTATAATATACATATATATATATATGTATACATGTATATATACATATGTATGCAGCATGGTAGAGGCAGGACAATAAGAAATGGAAACAATGGAACTGTCAGTTACAATTCTCGCCGCTAGTCGGGTTCCCTATTTTACCTGCACTATAGTATACCCCGAAGCTCTAGTCTAATGATCGAGGCTTCTGTGTTAGGTGAATGCTTACGGCTCCACGAAGGTCATGTGTGCAAGTGCAGACCAATGTGGATAGACAAAAGCGGCAGAAAGCTTTAGAGATGTCGGAGCATGCGCTGAAAATCAGCACCTTAACAACCCTCAGCCCCGAACCTAAATCTAAACCATAAAAACATCTGCATGAAGTCCGAGGCGCATCGACATTTACATCGCAAGGAGCCTCGCCGGAGAGCACGACTTTGCTAAAGACAAAGGCCGTGTGTTAACGCCTCCAGGTCAGATGTTTCTGTTGTTGAAAGTTTGGTTTACACCGGGATAGAAAGAGCACAAACTGAAGATGAAGTAGTTGTGCTGGCAATCGTGATTTTCCTGGCAGTCGCCATAGTAGTGGGTGAAGTGGTCGTCCGGTTCTTGAACTCAACTCCCTGACAGGACCTACCAATACTGCTTGAAGGTTCACCATGCCGTCAGCGGAGGAGGCCTGGCCTCCACCACCGTGCGTTGCACACCGGCAAGACTGCTCGAATTCACGATTTACGATTTAGTGCGCAGGAACTGACAGGCTTGTAGCCGGGTTGAGCATGGTCAGTGCTATGATCATGCAAAATTGGAGAATCTATTTTTCAACCGCTGCCGATGAGTATTTGCGTGCACAGATCCTCCGGGCATCTCAGCATGGCATCAACAGCAGGATGTGACACATCCATGCCGCTTCAACATCATACCTACCGGCAGTCTTGCGCTGTCTCATACATGTGGGCATATCATTAGCTGCTGATGCAATGACAGTTGCTCGCCTACATGACTATATGCTATCATCGGCAGGGGCCCATGCTTGGTGCAGCCGCATCAGCTCTGATGCCGCAGCCTTGCTGAACTTGGCGGCTTGACCTTCCCCAGCGTTTAGCATTCGCGGTTTGGTGCAGGCAGCCTGACTGGCTTGCCCTTCCGTGTCCAGCATGATGCTGGCATGCTTGCCGGGCCTGCAGCGCAGCTCTTGTTCAGTTGCACGTGTTTCGGTAAAAAGCAGATTCGCTATGCTGGTCCGAGGCCTCGAACCAAGGCCAGTCTTGCAGCAAGTCTACCCACCCACCCACCCACCCACCCATCTACCTACCTACCTACCTACCTACCTACCTACATACATACATACATACATTCATACATACATGTGTGTATATACAAATATGTATGTTGGTATGCACGCATGTTGTGCCGTGTATATATGCACATATCATATGGTCATATGTTACATAGAAGAACGCGCGCACGTATAAACACACACACACATGTGTGTGCACATATGTAAGTGCATTCTTTATGATGCACGTGCTGTTGTGCGTATGTGAATATATATATATATATGTATATATATACATACATACATACATACATACATACATACATACATACATACATACATGTATATGCATATGTATATGCATGTGTGTGCCAGTATGCAAACATGCATGTATGTATATATGTATGTATGCATGTATGTCTGCATGCATGCATGCATGCATGCATGCATGCATGCATGCATGCATGCATGCATGCATGCATGCATGCATTTGTGTATGTTTCATTGTTGTATGTATGTGTACCTATATATATATATACACATGCATACCTACATATGTATATGTATATATGTGTATGTGTGTATGTGTGTGGATTTCCGATATGCAGAAAACTGTTTAGGCCACCACGTGAGAATTTCTCATGGCCCTGGCCACCGCCTAGGCATTGTTCCACGATGCCCTTCCGGGAACTTGCGATGACTGCGTGGTCCTTTGGCAATGCGTTATCTCACCACGAACCAGCAGTGTACCTCGGCCATTTTGATCATGCTCGATTCGCAACCTTCTGTCCATCGTCGCCTGAATCGGTCAGTCCAACTCATCAGGACTGCTGCTGGAGCTGCAGCTCTGCCTGCGCTGGACAAGACAGCCTTTGAGATTTGTGGACGCGGAGCTGCAGAGGCTACCTCCAGTGCACATGACGCTGCGGCGCAAAGTCTCTGACGAAGCAGAGCTCTAGCGGCGTGCATTCAAGGCACTGTGCCGCCAAGATATCATTCCTCCTCAGCGCAGTCTTTGAGAAAGAGCCCTGCACTTTCTCAGCGCAGCAGATCCAGGACTCTTAGACAAGAAGCTGGCCCATGATACCAACTTCCCAGCCCTCTGCCAGGCTTGCCCAGTGGAGATGGTGGCATCTTTGGCAGGTTCACTCAAGGAGTTGAAGGCCGTTCCCACTGAGCCGCTCTGGTGGCGTTTGGATGAAGCTTAGGTTCAATACGCAGCTAAGTTGGTAGTCGGGTACTTTCCACTGCTAGATGCTAGGACTATGCGTCATTCTATACTGCGATATCGAGTTTGAGCACTGGTGGCTTCGGGTTCTGCGGTTGCCAAAGGGAACCTAAAGGTGCCAACGGAATTCCAGATCCCGCACTTCAGCGATACAGCCCTGGCAAGGTACATGGATTGCGCGGCAGCAGCCATTCAAAAGGCTGCCAAAGACGTTGATGTGGACAGGACAGTTTGCAGAGCGTCACGGCCAGCGAAGGGGAATAATTTCACCAGTATGTCATGATACCTGAAGCTGTGCAAGCTTGTACAGGCCTGTACCAGATGCCCTGCAACAGTTGTGCAAGCGTTTCCAGTACTATGTTGTTGCAGTAATTGGTAAGTACGATGCAATAATACAATAGAAGGCAATGCACGAGAGTGTGAATACTGATCAGTAGAGCGTACAACTATATCGAATATCACAGAAGTGAATTAGCAGATTGCAGAAGGAAACCACGACAAGCAGCAGCTCGGAAATTGAAACAACTGTGGATAGTACTCCTTGAACAGAGGTTATACTATGGGAGACATTGATTGGAGCATACCTCCCTACCTCTTGCTCGGACTAGCTCGAGCTGCAAACATTCGCATTCATTTCAGGTTTGACCCTGCGATACTGCGTTGAGCACCATCCAGGAGTGCTATTTTCCAAGCCCTCAAGCACTCCTCAGACACAAAGAAGAGATCTACATGGTCTGGCCCGCAAAAACCATCTTCCAGTTCTCACAGGATTCAACCGGCGTTTGAGCCGGATCCCACAATCAGCGATGCCGGCCCTTCTGTGCTTCTTGGCGGAATCGCAAACTTCAGCTTAGGGGCCTGCATTTTCCAAGAATCGCGACAACGGGTACCGACTTTAGCACTGCAGCGGATACCTCAAACTTGGGCCTTGGGTCTTCCAAGAGGGGTTGAGAGCAGGAGCTCACACATGAGCGACTTCTTTGCTAGTACAAATCAAACTTATTACTTGTGAATATTCTTGTGGCCATTGCAGCCATGGTGTTGAATGGCTATCCGTAGCCATGGTTTTCTTTAGTTTGTAACCCTGCACTGTAAGATTGTGGTCGTTTGAAGTTCAGTTCGGCCGGAGGCTGTTAAGGAAGACTGGGAACTGCGAAGGCATCCAAGCAGTCAACTCGGGGCAGCAGTAGCACCTAATAGAAAGGCATGAATAATCACCAGCATTATTCCTCAGCGTTCCCCATTATCGCATGGGGCATATATAATTCGGGCAGCGATAAAGTAATATACCCGAGCCTTCAGGCCCCTATATACTTCCGAGCTCCTCGGCTTGATATGCCAGTCGCCGGGATTTCCGAAGTTAGGGATCCAGAGCTAGAGGACATTGCGGCTCCTTATTCTGTACTCTTGAAACCTCCCCATGGTTGGAAGCTGCTTAGCCCCAATCTCCACCTACAACGGAGCCTTGCTGGATGCCGCCGTGTGGAACCTCTGCGAAGGTGTAACCATCCGGGAGCATTAAGACCCCTTCGAACAGGTAAGCTGTAAGCGTCAACGACCCAAACCCTGAACCCTCAGACTTAAACCCACAAGCCCAAGAATCGGTATAATTGATATCGATTCTTTAACATATCTTGATCCAATATGAGGCTGGAGACTGGGAAAGATCTCCTTGTCTTGTGGAAACCAAGTGGATGGGCCCGGCCGCCCTGAGTTTCTCAAAAGTTCGGAGATCTCCGGTTCCCTGTGGCGCGGGATGTCTGCGAGGTCTTCAATGTATGATACTGTATTATGCTACAAAATAGGATAATTGGAGATGCCATTAGCAACTAATGGATATCTGTGCTGGAGGTTCTCTGGGCATTATGATATACGATACTTATCATAACTCAAAAAACAAATAGTAACGATTGTTAAGAATTAATAGACTTCTATCGTAGGCTTTGGGTTCTTGGGGCCTCTTGCGTGCAGTGCTCCAGGATGACGATTGCTGGCAGCTTTGGAGTATCGGTTGCCAGAGAGCTTCACCAGGAAAATCTAGTGTTTCATAGATATACAAAAGCATACGTTCAAATAAATGTCTATGTGTAGTTATATGTGTATATATATATATATATATAAACGCATGTATGTGTATATAAACATATGTGTATGACACATACTATGTTATGCTTACACGAGGCATGTCGACAAACATGTCAACCACACTTTCTTCCAAGAATGCATGTCTGAAGTTTGGTGGCTGAACAACCCGGCTGACATTGACGATTGCTGAAGCACAGACCGTTGCGGCTACTGCACCAGCTCTTCCCCTAGCGTGGCCCTTCGTCCAACACTCTCATCTGGTTGGCGTCTGAGGTGGTAAATGTCAGAAGAGAGGCTTCAGCAGGCTTCTCGGCGTCACTTCGTGGTGGGATGTGTAACAAAGAGGAGACCTCAGAACTTTTCGGGCTCAGGAACTGCACGAAGGGTGCCTGGAGGTTGCGGCTTAGAGTGAAGCTCGTTGGAAGGTACAGGGCTAAGTGGGTAAGGGGTAGCCGCCCGCACACGGACGGTTTGGGCATTTGGGGAGTCTATAAAGGGCTCCTCAGGCACATTCGTGAGGGTATATGTGCCGTTTTGTTCGTGGAATGCTAGTAATACAAAAACTCGGCTCGGTAACGCTGTCACTTTTGGCCCGCCTGTGCTGCTGCAAAGGCTTTGCTGAAGAAGACATGCTGGGGGAGGAGCCAGCCGACCAGGCAAGCTGAATGTGACATCTTCTCACGGATTGCGAGCTTTTCGGGTCTTTTGTGAGAGCTTGATCATCCAGGCAATCGCATGCAGAAGCTGGACAGATAGTAACATCTGCCCCTCACAGTTGCTACCGGACACTCTCTCATTTGCTCTTTGTATTCTGCTGCCGTTCATTGCGTTTTTCTGTGAAAAACTCCAATGCCGGAATCTCAGATTGAAAACCTTAAATGAATAGACACGATCACGAAAGAACCATAAGCCCCCAAACGATTCACCCTAGCCCGAATGCCTAAACCCCAAACCCCAAACACTAACCCCGAAGCCCTTAAAGCTGAAACGCGAGACCTGCGGCCTCAAACTCCCAAACCCTAACATCACAAGCCAGGACGCCTTTCTAAACCGACCTGACAGGCACTATCGCGTTAAGCGCGCATTTTTCTGCAAGAAACCCAAACCCTGTGGCTCCAGATCCTGAAACCTCATGACTCATGGCAAACCCCAACGGCAAAAACCCTAGACCCCAAAAAACCTATAAACCCAATGAAGCTGAACCACCTTCCAAGAGCCCGAGATTTACGAAGAAGCCCTAAATTTGCTACCCTCAACCTCTACCCATAAAGCCCTGAGCCCTAAGCCCTAAA